GCAGAAGTCAAAAACGAGCTGGATCTCGATATTTAAACGATTCTTCTCACCTAAAAAGCGCTAATGTTGGCTAAAACAATCACGAGGTTCCTTTCAAATAAGAAGAAGCGTCTGGGAAGTTTTTCCCTCCCAAACAAATCTGATAACGGTCTACCGTCCTCGGAGGGTTGAAGGCTTAGTTGTCCTTCACGAGAACCGATCTGGGCTTCTACTCCCGGAAATTTGAAATGTACCTCTTTATTGTCATAAATTCTATACAATCGAATTAAGTGCTGCCGCTGGTTTATGCCTTTCATTGTAGTTCAGTTCACTTAAGTTTGTAAAAATTTTGCTCTCACCATGAGCCTCTGAAGGTCTAATGAAAAGCATGACGTCATTATAATTATTTGGAGAGAGCTTTGTGGACGGTTCAGCCGCCATTAGTGTTTTTTCTTGTCAGAAAAATCGTTGAAACATCGGTATTTAGCTTTTCTTGCGGTTCTCGTAGATTGTTTTCAGGAAAAATCAGAATATCTCACCGGTTTTTTTTCATCTAGGGATTACAACAGATTCTCTTGGTGCTAGTGTGAGTAGGGAAGAGGCACTCGGCCGCCCTATCGTGTCCCTTCTTAAGAACAAGAGCTAAGCTTAAGGCTGCGTTTATACATTGCGTTAGTGCTTTGTGCGTACAGCAGCGTTTTGAGCGTGTTGTGCGACCAGGAATGCATAGGTATCGATCCAGCATTTCGCGAACGGTTTTGGAATTTTCGCGGACGGGTGCTAGAAACGTTGTTCTTTCAAAACGTGGATCGATTCCTATACTTTCCTAGTCGCTGAAAATGTTGCCGAAGCTCGAAACTCTCAAAACGCCTGCACAAAGTATGAACGCCAGCGTATGCATTGATGGACCTATCTTCCGTGCGAGACTGTATCATGCCTACTCTAATGGTCAGCTCCCGAAAAGTGCGTTCATAGTTCGCCCTTCCACTCGCTGAGCAGAGCTTGTTTCCCTTCCTAAAGCAAGTTGTATGAGCGCACTCTTGGTATTAGCCTGCCCTTGGTTGGGAAAGGTTCCGGAAAGCTTGGTTGAATGGCGTCCACAACTACGTTAGTGCAGATCTCTCTGCTTGTAGTAGTTGTATGACACTTTTAGAGGCAGATGTAAGTGAAGGGGCTGGTGGTGGTGCGATTGAGGCTAGCGACACTGCCACCGCCCCCCCCCCCGCGACCCTTTGTAAAGGCCGCAACCTTTTATTATCGATTACTTGTAGACTAAGAATTCTTTCGCTTTTTTTTCTTCTATCCGATATTATGAGTTCTATTAGCGCTGGTAGCCTTGGAGTAGGGCACACCTGTAAGGTCTGGCTAGCGTACTTGACTCTGTACAATAGACATGTGTGTACCGGATAAACTTGTCATTACCTTGTAAGACTTGTTATGACCTGTCAGCACCATGTGAACTTCTGTCAAACGTGGTAAAATGACTGGTCCTTATTGGGGAAATGGCGTTTCGGTGACGCTGCAACCAGCAACCATTTGGCTAGGTTTGAGAGGAGTTTACTGGACTTGTGGAGTGGGGACCGTTGGAGTGGGGGTGCCGATTGCGAAAAGACCAAAAAAAAAAACGAAAATGAAGACCTATATTGAAAAACCTCACGGTTTGGTTCACCCAATGGCCATTAGTGTCGTTTTATTTCAGTGTTATCAAAGAAGTGACCGGCGCGCTGTTTCTAATTATTTTTTTTCTTGTCTCAGTCGGGTTTACCGAATTTGTCGCCGCGTTTGGTGCATGTTGTCAATGTTCTCCGGTGGTTCTGCTAGTTTTTTTTGTGTTTAAAACGTGAATAATACCAATTGTGGTGAACCATACATCGACTTTCTGATTGGCAAATGTGAGCGATTCATATTCTTCGACTAAGGGAGCATTATTCACTGATTTCACTATCTTTCCTCCTCTTAACATGGGACTGATTTTTTGGTAAAAGTGCGTTCATACTTTGGTCGGCGTTCCGTGGGTATGGCGGCATTTCTGAGTGGCTATGAAGGTATAGGTACTGATCTTGCGTTTTGAGCGTACTTCAGCGTTTTGAGCATTTCGCGCGGGCTGTCGCTAAAAACGCTGGCGTAAGCGGCGCTCAGAACGCGAGATCGATATTCATGCTTTCCTAGTCGCTCGAAAATTTGCCGTACGCTTTCAAAGCTGACGCAAAGTGTGCACACTTCAACCGAGCCTAACTGATGACGTTGAATTGGCTTTTCAGGCAGTCAAGGCATCAAATGAGCGAGCGTTTCGATGAAAAGCTCCAAATGTCCATGCATCAATGCTTATGTATTGCAGGAAACCCTGATTGTGTGGTCTGAATCGGATACGTGCGACCTGGCGCTGAGCTTCCAGGAAAAGTCTGGCTGTGAAGAGATTTGGGCAAAGATTTGTGAGGTGCAAGGACGTGATCCTGGAGACGCGGTAAGATTTTTCTCTTTTATACAGAGCGCAAATTCGATCAAGAAGCATTTTGTTAGGACCGGTCAACCGGTATTTTTGTCAAGTGGTCTTATTTCCTGCAAAGCGAGCGACTAGTGCCAGTACAGTTTCCACGTAATTTCTCTGATTTTTTTTCTAATGCCAAGCAGCACAGTGTTGGAAAGTGGAAAGGGCGCTGTTTGCCTTGAAAAGGACATCCCCTGCTGGATTAGGTCATCTCTTATCTCCTCATTTGCAGCTTCGCACCGGAGCAGCGGGACGCCGCGTTCAAGCATGACCTACCGAACACTAGAACAAGTCACCCTACCAATGCACCCTCCTACCTAGACATTATGACGTGTTTTATGATTTCAGAACACGATGTGGCTGAGCCTCGCTGGGGTATGGTCCCTCCCAGTCGCATTTAGTGCGTATGGTTGCAGCGACGCAGCAGGATTACCTGCCTGTTCGCTGTTCTGCTTCGAGGGGCACCTTACATTTTCGCTAGTTCCTATGTTAACTAATAGGTCTCATTTCGGTCATGCTTGTATACTGTGTGAAGCAGCGAAACCTGCGTGTGAGCCACTTAGATGAGTACCGTCCCTGCCCTCCCCTTCAGGCTGAAGAGCCTCCATTTTTGATTATGGAAAGTAATGCTTGCTTCTTCGGTGGCAGCGAAATGTTGTTGCCTAGTGGGCCATATTTTGCTTTATTGATGACGACATGATGACTTCAATGGGGGATTACCGTAATGGAATTATAGCTGTTTTCTTTCGATACTGTTCTTAATAAATATCGAAACATTCAGGATGGCGGATATGACGAGATGGATGACGGAGAGCTGAGCGAGGGCTCATCCAATGCACTATCAACCACTGGTGCTGCTGGTCGTGTAATTTTGCCACCAATTGAGATTGGCCGCCTTTCTGAAGTGGACAGCGTTATCCAAAACCATCTTGCTACGCAAGCATTACGGGAGAAAATGGCAAACGCAGTGGAGTCGGAAAGGTGAGCCTGAGATAGTATCTCCATAACTTTAGTGCTTTCTTAATTATTTTCTGGTTAAAACAGTCCATGCGCTCAAGCATTGGGCGTCATTCCTCGCTCAAGTAGGCTATTCCGGGTCCTTTAAGATTATCCCACTTTCGCGGTTTCACAATAAGTAACGAATGTGCTGGGGACCCTCATTGGTGGCAGCTCTGACGCCTTCCTAATTATCCCGCCCACCGAACCTCAAAGGCTATTTTCTGTCGCGAGTTCGGTTTTTACTCTGTGTTTTTCTTTTCATTTCACTGTTGAATGGTGTCAGCTTTTAATGACGCGAAAGAATCATTAGTGAACCATAGGCGGTGGGGTGTCGCTTTGCTGGCATAAATCGAGCTGGTCAGGGAACTCATATAGCGAGGATGTCAGGGAGTGCTTACTTACTTAAGGAATTCGCCATAATTTATAGCTTATTTCCTCTCTGGAAAGAGTTGCGGTATTTGGCTTCGAATGAACAAGTTTTTTTCAGTGTTTTGCCGAAGTTAGTCGATGTTTTTCACATGTGTGAAGATGTTGAACATAAGGATGGATTGCGTACGCTGTATTCGATTGCGAAGAAATTATTCATGTTAAATAGAAATAGTCTTAACGAGGTACGTGGTTTCCGACCGTGGGTTTATTCCTATTCCTTGGATATTCGGCTGTTTTTCTTTTTTTTCATTTGTGCTTGGTCTGAGATTGTAGAGAAACTGCTTTTCATGTTTCTTTCCAAACCTAAAGCTTCCGCTTTTTTTCAACACGTTACAAAGCAATTACGAATTCATGTGGATGTGTTCATACTTTGCGAGTGAGCGTCTTGGGAAAATCAGCGTTTTCAGCAAAAAGTAAAATATATGTAGCGATCCAGCGTTTGGGGAGAATCTGCGTTTCGAGCGAAAAGGAAAGTATAGTCATCGATCTGGCGCTTCAGAAGAATCGGGTTTTAGGGGAGAATCAACGCTTTGAACAAACAAGCGTAGGTATCGATGGGCTCCCGATACGCCGATTCACTGAGTACGCTGATACTTCCAAAAATCTAGCGACCGGCTCTGATCAATACTCATGCTATCTTTTTCAGTCAGTACGCTCAGAATTCCGAATCGCTCAAGGCGCTAATTGTTCAAGTCGCAAACTATGAGCGCACCATGATTTGACCTGTTATGGAGTCATTGAGATAGGGAGCTGAGCATTTGAGGATGCAACTAGTCTTATTTGCGCTCTTGCATTGAGAGAGTGCCACTGCCTCTTCTAGCTCAGCCTTATTGTTAGAAGAACACAGGCTATTAGAACGGGTGAGGCCAGCCTCGCAGCATGCTCCCCCCCAAGCTCCAGTATACTTTTAGCGAGGCTTGGTCTCCCAAAGTGGCTCGCAGTGCCAGTTGACCCTTTATTTATTTATTTTTCATTACGTGTGAGGAATTGCTGGCTTTGCTTTTCCATTGAGTTTTAAGTAAAATTATATTTTTTTTCATTTAGACATTGCTCAGTGACAAGTACCTGAAAGATCTCATTGGTATGCTTGAATACGATCCTGCCCATGAGGCACCCCGCAAACATCGGGAGTTTCCTCTATGAAAAGGCAACTTTCCGTGAAGTGTTGCCGATAGCGAATGATGAGCTCAAGTAAGTACATTTTACAAAACTTTCATTTCCTCAGGAAAGTGCTGTTGGCAGCACCAGTTCCAGCACTATCTGTACTATTCTTCTCGTTTCAGGGAAAAAATCCATCAGACTTATCGTGTGCAATACCTGCAAGATGTTTGCCTTCCAGCGCCATCGCTTTTCGAGGAAAATCTACTTTCTGTTCTGAATAGCTACCTGTTTTTTAATAGGATCGATATTGTAAACATGTTACAGGTTAGTTATAGAAAAAATGAAAATAGTTCGATAATTTCATACCGAAATGTTACGTGTGATTTTCAGAAAGATAAACGGTTAATGAAAGAGCTTTTCGATCAGTTGCGTGATCCTGAGACTACGGTTTCGAGAAGGAGAGATCTCGCATTTTTCTTGAAAGAGTTCATTTCCCTTAGCCAAGGGCTGCCTCCAAATGGAGCCCAGAGCAAGGACAACTTTTTCAAGGTAAGTAAATGGCTTTGCCATTATGCGTTTTGCTATTTTTGTTTACTAAAATTCTTGGAGTTGAGATATAATCCCTTTCTCTCTTACCGAAAAAAAGTGAGAAATGGTATTTAATGTTTCCTTCATAAGCTCTACCATTACTAGAAGCCGCCCGTTAAAGATACATACTGCAAATAAATGTTAGGTGGAACCTTTGTACAAGGCAGCCTGGTACACAGTCACAGAGTTTGTACCTCTTTGCAGCTCAAAATTGAGTGATAAATGCGCCGTAACCGTCATTCGCCTTTGCAGCCCTGCCCACCATCCAATGGCTCCACCCATCTATGAGTGGTGTTGCGATTATGTCAGTGTGGGATTTCGTTTGAAGTCTTGCTAGAAGTTCCCTTTCGTATCGTTTCCCTTCTAGTCTCTCATCGGCGTCAGCAGTGTCTCTAGGCGTCTTACTTTTTGGGTGCTCGTCCGTTGCTGAAAAGCAATTGCAATAAGGGGCTTAATTTAACACACTTCCGACGGCTTTTCCCGCTTTTTTTCTGGACGCTATTTAGCATGGACTGTAGTTATAGCAGAAGGTGTCTTTAAGTCCACTTATTAGCTTATTTGGTCGTGACATGATTCAAACCGTTGCCAGAAATAGGGGAAATAGAGTTATTGCATGGTTAATGTATACCGTTTTCCATCCATCTTCAATCCACCTGGTTCGTAACGGGCCTCAGTTTGGCTTGAGTGGGGGCACTGAATGGTACTCGCTCAAGCTTCAGCGGGCTGTTTTGTAACGGCCCGTAAATTCCTGTGACCAAAGTGGCTAACCTAAGCAATTTCGCAGCTTCATAGGAGTTTACAGGTCTGACAAAATGAGTTCTGCTTGCTAACATGGTACGATGGAAGTACAGGACTCTAAAATGCTCATGGCGAACAGCGTCTCGCAACATTAGATCCTCTCCTTGGAAGCTGTTTGAAAGCAATATCTGTTGACAAGATGTAATATTTGATAGGAAGTCTCCCCATTTCGCCTACCTCACCTCCCCTGACATTCTGCTGACGTACATAGAGGTCACCTAAAGAGTACGTCCTCTTATCAACTGCACTACCTGACCTTCTCTTAACGTTCCATTTTCAAACTGTGGAAATTTGAAGGGTCGCCGAGCCACAGCGCTCCCAGCTCTGATTTTATTGAAATGATTTACTCTGATTTTATTGAAACGAATTTATGAATGATTCTTTCCAGAATCTCCAAGCCAATGATGTTCTCGGCACGATAGAACCCTGTATCAAGTCACCTGATCACGACACACGCATCACGATTGTAGATATGTTAGCGTTACTCGTCGATCATAGCCCACAGCTCGTTAGGGATTATTTGCTCAGGCAGGCTAAAGATAAGAGCGATGTAAGTAATTACTCCAATAAACTATTTCCAGTTTCCTTCAATGAAAATAACTAGTTAATCACTCGCTTGTTTATTCTTGCCTTTGATTTTTAGGATGAGGTGTTGTTGAATCGCCTTCTCATTCATATGCAAACAGACCGCGATCCGGAATTGACCTCTGGCAGTCAGATTTCGCAGGTAAATTTCTCCCTTTATTAACTCCGTTCTTATACCTTTGATATTTGAATATGTGTGTAGTTGAACGTGGTTTTCTACTTATATGTTGTAGATGCCGATGCACAAGCTAGTATTTTCATCCTCCCAAACAAACCTGATACCATTTCATCGTCCCCGGGGGGGCGGAGGGGGGATAGAAGGCTTGGTTGGATTGTGCGGGAGCCGATCCGGGAGCCGACCCGGGATTTGACAAGAAAACCATGCGCGTGGTGAGCATGCCACTTGTCACTGCACCACCTCGCTCTCTATAAGAAAAACGAGGGAATATTATGTCTAAACACCTCGATACAGCTTCTATCTTGAAGGCAGTTGGCACGATGATTTCGTGTTCGGCCTAAAATGCTAGTAGGGCGCTATATAGTGGGGAAATGGCGAAAGAACGAAGTGAAACGGTCAAAATCCTGCGAAGAAAGAGCCTCCGTTCTCAATGTGTTAGAAATCAATTTTGGACGAGTTTCCCGTAGGCATCTTGCCAATAACCGCTACCGAAGGTACGGCTGCATATGTGTACCCATGTATGCATGCAGCATCACGGCCGCTTCATACCAATCCCTTCGCTTCATAATTTGCTTAGCAAATGAATCGAATAGAGCGTCAGGAACGGTCGTCCATTTGTGGGCGGGCGGGCGTTTGGGTCGGAATGTTGTGGCTTGATAGGGCCCTTATAAGGGCACCTTCCTTGGAAAAGGCATTATGCAGCGCCTGCTCAGGGTCGCGGAATTCCGTCCTGCCAGGCGTATTAATCCTACTCGTCGTGGGGATTTATCGTGCCAACTGCCTTTAATTGACTACTACACCCAATAGGAAGCTACCTTTTCACAAATCTTTGGGACTATCGCATCGTGCGAATCCCGCCTTTACTTGATTTTCTCACAAGACTAAAAGTTATGAAATTTTTAGGTTCTTCGTACCTTACTGGATCCAGACAATATGGTTTCTATGCAAAAGTCGGATAGATCGGAATTTTTGAGTCTTTTCTATCAAAGGTCCATCTATACGCTTGTCAAACCAATGATGGACAATGTCAAGGGAGGAACGATCAAGCGAGGTAAGCCTTTGTTAGGCGGTTTTCCTGTTCATTTTTATGTCGACTTTAGCTAAAATTCGATATTTTCTTTGTCGCGGCTTCTGCTCTATTATTAGAATAGTTTGCCTCATTCAACAACTTGTTCTCAGATGATTACTGTACTGCTAATCGTCAATCATTGGTTGTTCGACTGCTGTGCTTTTGTATTGAACACCATTCATTTTCAATGCGCCAGCATTGTATTTCGAACGATCTCCTCAACAAAGTGCTCGTTCTCCTGCAAAGCAGACATCATTTCTTGGCGTTAGGTATGTTTCGTCAATTTTTCCTTTTTCCTTTTTTTAATTGTCTAGTATTCGATGTAGGCGCAGTTCGGCTTGGAGGGGGCACTGAAAGGTTCTCAGCAAAGCTAGTTCAACTACCTTTGTGAAGAATTCCTGTAACCAAGATGGATCCCATACCATTTCGCAATTTTGCAGGGGTTTAAAGTTTCGCCAAAGCGCAACCTGGTACCGTAAGCAGCAAAGGTACGAGTGAAGGTGTAACATGCCCTCCCAAGCCGAATAGCGTCGAGAAAGCTCCCTATGAGCCCAAGAAAACTATCAGATGAGCGGGGCTTATGCCTCTGAAAATAAGGCGTATACGTTGTATTACAAGTGTACCCTCAGCTGGACGAGCTGTTCCCGATCTGCGAAAATCTCCCGTAATCGTATGCATTACAGCTGCGTTGAAAATGTTACGCACAGTTTTGGCGGTGAAGGACGATTTCTACAATCGATATATCGTCCGGGAGAAGGTACTTGATCGTGTTGTTGAGTGTTTTGTACGAAATGGTGCACGATACAACCTCTTGAACTCAGCAATGCTCGAACTCTTTGACTATATCCGATCGGTGAGTTGGACTTTGTCACATTCATCTCGTGAGTCACCGATTTCCACCCACCACATTTAGGAGGACATCAAGCCGTTGGTTAAATACACGGTGGAGAACCATATGTCGTCCTTTGAGGACGTTACATATGTGAAGTTATTCTCGGAGCTGAAAATACGCTATGAACAACAGCGTGATCGTGAGAATGCGGCGAAGATAACGGCTGATGAGAGGGTGCCAAGTCCAGCGGCGTTTGCTAAAGAACGACAAGTACGTAGAGGTTTTTCTATTCCATCTTCAAGAGGTGTTTATTTTGGAAACCTGTGTTTTCTTTATGGTCCGTATGTGGCAAGACAATCGTAATGTGCCGCGTTGGTGGACGTAGCGAGCGACGTCGCGGCCGACAGACGAGTTGTTCATGCACGACAAGTCGCGCGCAACAACGCGACAATTTACGGTTGTCTTGTCCGCTCACGGAACAGTCTTATTTTCTTGTTTTTCTCTTTGGTTATGGTAATTTAGCAATCCCTAAGCGTGAGCTTGGGACTGCAGAGGTGCTTGTCTGATCAAATTACTCTTCATCATCACGTGATCGTTGCGGCGTGACGTCACATGCGCGGCGCCCATGGACCTAATTGATTCAGCGTGAAAGTGGTGCAGCATATCGATCCAGCTAGTTAGTTACTGTGTATTGCTGAGGTGTGGATTCGGTGGCTGGGTGGCGCGGCGTACCATAGGTTTAAAGTTGAGAGATGACGCGTTAATGGGATGACTTAATAAAACACATTAATGGTGAAGGTCTCTATTGTTTCACGGAGTTGACGTCTGAAGACACGTCACTCAAGTCTTCACTGACGTCAATGACACGTCATCTATCTCACAACAGGTGTACAGGACTGCCGCAGCGTCCCTACATCAATTCATAACATTTGTTCCTAGAATGATTTGCTTTATACTGGGAACTGTAGGGTTCAGTGGTAGTGAAAGCAGGGCACGTCGTCCTGTTTTTTTTGGGGGGGGGATTTCTGCAATATACAACCCCTCCGCCCCGCAAAAGTCCCTTCCCTGATGCGCTTCCCCATTCCCCACCATACATGCCATCTACCAACTTTCTTTCGGAAGGAGGTATATAGTGCACGCGTGATATACGAAAAACCGAGCAAAGTCAGCAGTGAAAGCATATTCAACAAAGGCGAAAGTGACCCTACCCAATCCCCTTTCCAGCTCAGCGATCAAATACGGCACCCCTCGAAATCCCGGGAATCCAACGTATAACGTGCCCTGACTGTAAATGTTCACGCTCAGTCACAAATATGCGGTCAATGTTTATATTTCGCACGATCAGTTGGCAGTATTCCGAATGAAACATGCTAGCTCCTGCAAAATGAGAAGCAGTCGCGGAGATGTGAGAAATGCACCTGGAAGAAAGGGCAGTGTATTTCCCAGATAGTCATCTCGATCCACCTCAGTAACACCACCTAAAATCAGATAGATCCACATGCGAGTGCAGCACACGTGACACTACTTTCAATGCTGTTTTTGCCGCGTCGCTGCAGCGCTGCACTTGATGCTAGGCTTTTCAGCATGAACGGGTTTCCCTTGCAGCTTGCTGAATAATCTGATCCACTTTATCTAGCTGTTTCAGGAAGAGCAGTGGTTCGATGGCGAGGATGATGAGGCAAGTGAATGTAAGAAAGAACCGATAGAAGTGAAAAAAGAGACCAAAAAGGAAATTGAATCGCCTCGGAAGACTGGCATCGAACCGATGTTCCCTTCGGTGCTGAAACGGAAGAATGCGTTTGATGAGGACGATGGAGCGGTGTTTAGTGGTCAAGTAGCACTCTTAACACCAGTTAATATTATGACAGAGAAAAAGATAGTCATAAAGGTGGGTTTTGTGCGAATAACCCTATAATTACTGATGTTTTATATTGTATTATCCTCTTCGAAGACTACCCAGTTTAGGTGGGTGATCGGTCTCGGACACCATCACCATTAGGTTCTCCGTTATCTACAACACCACCGCCAGTGCAAGTTCGTGAAGATGAAGTCTCGTCTTCACAGAATAATAGCAAGGAGAATAGTCCAATGAGTATAAAGGTATGGAATAGTTGTGAAGTTGTTTTTGTTCACTTTCTTGTTTACGTTATTTGGAGCTTTGAAGTCTATTTTTGATGCGTCTTTGATACCTGTGCATGAACTGGGGGAAAAATGATACCCTATGAGCTTGCGTTTAGTGAATCCATTTGGTGCACATTTATTAGACTGCGCATTGCTCGAGCCTGGCACTTTTACTCGCGTTACTTTTCGTGGTCCAGGCTTTCTCGTCTAAACAGCGCTTCATGACCAGGGTTGCCTCGCACTCCACCAACTTTTGAATGGATTTTTCCCCTCATCCTATCCAGGATCTGGAATAAATATCAGGTGTTGTGTGGAATACAGGCATCTTATCAATGGGCGGCTTTTCATGAATTTGTGAGGTGCACAAACATTGTGAG